AATGTGACTGGCCACACAGACTTCCGTACGCTATCTACGCAATGTTCCCTATGTTAGCTGCGTCGCAGAGTGTACATGGCATACGTAGCGAACGTAGCAAACATAGCGTAGCGCTCTGTGTGGCCGAACCTTAAGACAGTGACACTAAACTGAATGTGTGGTCAGTTTCGACCTTTGATGGCTTTAATCCCGGGGGGGGAACTCTCCCGGTAGACACTGGAAAAGGGGAGTCGGGGGGATCGAGAGTCGGTCTGAATGTGGCGACGAACAGAAAAAAGAAAAGCCCAAACTTGTCCGTTTTCGAACCCTTATTTCTTTGTCCGTGGTCAATCACTGTATAATCTTTGCTTTACTGGCTGACATGAACGAATATCTTTGGTTTGTATTCACGATTCGCGTCGACATTTCTCCTGCTATTCGTGTACTATCAGGCTGTACGCTGAGGGGCAATACTGCTCTTATGAATTGAACTAAAATCATTTCACATGCGGTCAAGTCTTTACGTCACAAAAATGACTAACATTGGATCAGTGCTACAAACGTAAAAGAAAACACCTCCGTACCTCCCGAATTTATCTGGAAAGGAAAAAAATTAAGATGTTTTCGTAGAAAATGTTTATTTCATCTGGGACATAAAGCCTTCGAGGTCTTGTTAGGAGGACGATGTTAAAATAGATCTTATATGGTATATATAGGTGCGCACTAGATTCAATTATTTCGAAATAGTAACAGAACTTTGGGTCCCGTGAAAGGTGAAGAACTTCTTTATTTGCTCAGAAATTATCATATTATTATGAAGAATTCTGATCCATGCAATCTGCAACTAAAATTACTTTTACGATTTTGAATATTGGTGTATTTTGGAGCGGGTTCTGGCCAACATATCAGAATGACGCTTTTCTATGATCGTATTTTCTTTCGGTTTTGGGTATCAGATTCTACAAACTGCTATGGAATTACACATAATAATATTTATTATTATTATTATTTTGTACCTGATAAAATCCACTATGATTCTCGAATCAGGAATATTCAAAATGTACGTATATTCCTGTAATTTAACTATTAAAAATTTAACACGCAATCACAGACATCCTGCTATCGAAATTCGAATAAGTATATCTATAAAGAGAAGCATTTCCTGTAACAGGTTGTGAAGGCCCATAGGGTTCTGAGACGTCAAGGCTCCCCATTTTCTAGACAATCTGCTCATAGATGGCGGTAAGGATGTCAACCTTAAGCGCCGGTCGGATGCCCTTTACCCCCAGGAAGATTCCCCATTCTAATTTCTGTTAGAGGCTGAGTCAGCCCCAGGGCTATAGTGCGGCTAAATGATCAGGTCAATTCAAAAATCCAATGACCTTTTCGGGAATCGAATCCGCGCCCTTCCGGCTTGTTGCATAACGCCTCAACAAACTACGCTGCTGCATGCCCTCAACAAGTATATCTCTATTAATGTTAATTATTGTACTACCATACTGGACATAAAGGTGATGACATCTGAGATAAAGCATTCTTATTTCAAGTATTTTAACATGACAGCGTTGTGTTACTTGTTAAAGTGAAGTTGGGCTGTGATAAGAACATGTGTTCTCCCGTTTCCCTGCATTATCGCCCTATACTTCAGTGCGTTCCAAGGATTCTTATTGCTAGGCTTCTTAATTTTCTTTAACCGTCTAGCATTCCGAACAGAGTATGACATTTCGGACGTTGTATCTGTTTCCATCATCAGGTGAGCATGAGCCACCTCAAATTTTCATATGAGGAAGGAAACAGATACATTTTCCGAAACGCTGAGCTCTGTTCGGAATAGCAGGCAACGATGAACAAAGACCAGACGCTCAACAGTACTGTCACTTGTATCAGTGACTAAAGACCGGGGGATTCGGGATTGATGAACGGGTTTATTTACTCCTTATACGCACTACCAGTAATTACACGTAATTATAGCGCTATCGTTATTTCTACACTTTATAATTCACTGTTACACGTATGCTCTTCCTCTCCTGGTAACGCAATTAAAACACGGGAACTATAACAGTCTCACTGAATTACAGACCCAAATATTACACATAAATAAAGTCTTCTAAACACACGTTAATTCTTCGGAAGCCGACTTCTAGTTCTTCTTCAACTACACTAAACTACACGGCTCAAAGTCAGAGTCACATTGCGACTGACGGTCAATCAGTAAGTCTTGGTATCGAGCACCAACTGGGGCTCATGACCAGACATTTATTACTGTTTGACAGTTACGGTCTTGTTTTTTTCTTTTTTTGTGGGGCGCCTTCTGTGACGAGAGGACGGGTCTGTCTTTTGTATATGCTGCTGGTCCTTGTCAGCGCAGTCTTTCTCGGGTTCGAGTCCCTTGGTATTCGCGACCATATTTTACTCTCTCAGATCTGAGACTTCCATTTTCGTCGCCTCTTACGACTCGCAGGGTCACGGTGGAGGTATTCGACCCCGCCTCCACTAAACTCACTGACTTAAACCTAAATAGATTCAAGTCAACGGAACAAAGTATTATAACGGATTTGATCGACGCGTTGTCAGGTAAGAGCTCTGTAAACACGGTCCAACATGCAACAAAAAACGAGGCTGTTTTATATGTCGTCCGCGCCAAGACCAGTGCTGCTAACGGACAAATCAACTCGCAACACGTGACACGTATTTTCTGTGTGGTCTGCGCCATGTAGCAACAGAGGCCCTGTTTTTTCTGTGCGTGACCCGTGCCTAGACGATATAAGGGTGTACAGGAATGGGAAGCCTCGTCTATTGTTGCGTGTTGGACCGCGTTTACAGAGCTCTTACCTGACAACGCGCTGATCAAATCCGTTACACTACTAAGTGTCCTTCATGATTTTACAGCAAACTTCTATGTCAAATGTTTCTTACGAGAATAATAATTAAAGTTATTGAATTACATTGCATTGCCTTATGCCGAGACTACGTATAAACCATGTAAAAGTTATGGAACTTGTATTTTGTTTTTTCACGCCGCGTGTAAGTACGATGCAGCAGACAACATTAACAAACTAAAGAAAGTACAGTTTCACAAGTATATAACACGTTCGATGCGCAAGAAGTAATATCACAACATAAAGCCAACGACAGAAAGAAAATATATAAAAAAAAAGTCATTCTTGACAAATTTGTCAGGACAGTATCCGGGGTCCCCCCTTCGGTATGGCCACTGGCTACGGGCTGGAAGGCCGAGGGGTAGGAGATCAAGTTTTTCCTCTTCTCCATGTCGTCCAGACCGGTTCCGGGGTTCACCCAGCCTCCTATCCAATGGGTAAAGGGGGCTCCCTCCTCGGGGAAAAAGTGACCCGGGCGTGAAGCTAACACTCACCTCCAAACAATGCTTAGGTTAAGAAAACGTGGATCTATACAGCCTCTCCCCCTTACGCTTTCTTGGTGTAGTGCTTAATTAGTTAAACATAGGGACAACTTCTTTTACACCCTAAGTTTCATTACGATGTTCACTAAAGTTCTGTCTTCATTCTAGCCCTGAGCCAGTTGGATCTACTCCACACCCTCGCAACCATTTGCTTTAAGATCCGTATTACCTTCCCATCTACGCCTACGTCTACTCAGAGGTCTCTTCCTTACAGATTTTCGACTAAATAGTGGTATGTACGTGTATATCTAACTTCCTACACCTCAACTAGACAACCTCCTCCTACTTCCTCGCCCTATGGTTCAGTACTTCCCTCGGATTCTATTCTCAAATGTTCTCGGTTTATATCCTTCAGAGGAGCAGATTCATTTCGGAGAGTGTTTACATTCAGTCCAGTTTCCTCTGCCGTTCTCTGCCCTGTGAATCTCAGAGTACAAGAAACCTGGGCCTCTTGACTTACGAGAGCAACTCAGATCTCGGTCCATTTGTGAGGAGGATACCCATGAGAATATTTTAACCGAAAAGGAAGACAAGAACAGAGCTATGGTTAAAAAGTAAAGTTATCCCTGTGCTTAATTAATTAAGCACTGTGCCTTGAAGACATGCGGGGGATTGGAGGTGTAGCTCCACAATTGACCTTGGCATTAGATGGAGGTGAATGTTCAACTTCACGTTCCGGCCGTTTTGCCCCCATATGCATTGGATAGAAGGCTGGGTGGGCCCCAAGGCTGGTCTGGACGCTGTAAAGAAAAATCCCTTGCCCCTTCCGGAAGTCGAACTTCAGCCGTTCAGCCCGTAGCCCACAGCTATACCGAGCTATCCCGACTTCTAGGAAATAGCAGAGAACTGAAGAAAATTACACTGTGAGCACGAAGAAAATTAATTTAAGACATAAGATTTGTAATAAATCTAAACAAAATCGTCCAATCCTGGTGTTGGAATTTTCAGTATGAAGAGAAAGAAATTGCTCCATTATTGAAGGTATGTAGACTGTACTGTTTCAAACTTTACACCAACCAATAGACAACATGCAGCGTTTTTGTGTGTCAAAATTGATAGTAGCATCAAAATTTGTGGAAACTTACTATTACTGTAGAGAAAACAAAAACAATAATTTGTTTTAATTCTGGTAGTTAACTACAGTAATGTGTTTGTTGGGCTACAGCAGTGTCCTCATTTCTCTAAACCCAGTCCTCGAAATGCATCTTTTGGGATATGGAAATGGATCATAAATGCCTACGTGTAGTTCGGTTAACTCTAACGATGATGTGAAACTTACTCTACAGTATAGCAAAACGGTACGATTCCTACAGAAGGATATTATTAAATCAGAAATGGAAAACCATTCCAACAATAATATCATATTTATAGTTTAATCAAATTTTATAAATGTTCTCTCAGCTGTTAAACAAATTTTTGGATAATCTAATTGGCTTACAGTATTTAGAAGAGTGCAACCAGTTGAAATAACTCCAATGTACGCTTACATTAACTCAAACGGTTCTGTAAGTTTAGGTTAGGTTATGTTAGATAGGCACTTTCTTCCGTTATCATTCTTATTACCATGTGCGTCCTTTGTTAATTAACATATTCTTCTTACCTTTATTAGGTCATTAGTAGCTGTTAAGATATAACCGAGCAACACGTGCTGTTTGTCGTGTTGTGAACGTTCCAAGCCACACTCTCTACACAAGCACATAGAGCTGCACTGAAGCTTAAGAACAGTATCAGGCTGGGATTTCGTGACGCCATGACAGAAGATAACATTGCACGATAACATAAAGTACGTCACTGCTTACTCGTACAGTTAGATGCAGTATTATTGGGCATTGTCTTCATAAATCTGTGGAAATAAGTCACGCGGAAAGAAACTAGACAAATATAGCTTTGATTACAATCGGATAATAGTACATAAGCTAGATGCTGATACAGCAATTTTTCATAACACTTCCCGAGGCCTCTCCATGATGTAATGAATACAAACAAAATGCAGATTAGGTTTTCCATACTACAACTGACTTCTCTTATTTGAAAATCTGAGGTGGGGGAATGAAGACGAGACAAACCCTGAAAATAACAGGTAACAACTGAAAGTTTACCTCCATCTTTAGAAAACTACACATTGCCGCATATTAACGTCTATAGAGAGGTGCATATCGTTAAAAAAGATGGCGGTACAGTGCTCGAAGCCTTGTAGTAAATCAGCGTGGCATGTACCACGGAGATCAAATTCATAGGAAGTGGTCATTTGAAAATTAAATATTGACATGTCGATAATTAGATGTGTTGACAGAGAGACGAGTGCGGTACCGCTTAATACGAAGGCTTACCACTGGATACGATCCGCCCCTCTACCGTCGCGGTCTGTCTTCCTATAATCCATCTTCAGAATAGTCTCCCATTCATTTCCGTCTTTCAACTAGACCTTTATCAGCAGGTTTTTTTTTCCTTGGCACTACAGCCCCAGTGGGCCTAGGCCTACCTCCATTAACTTCTCCGTTCACTGCGGTTTTTCTAGATCTTACACATTCGGTAGGACTCCTTGGGCGGGTGATCAGCTCGTCGCAAGGCCTCCACCTGTACACGAACACAGAAAAACGCGCATACACAAACTAAACATCCATGCCCTGATTGGGATTCGAACCCACGATCTCGGCTTCCGAGCGAGCGAAAACAGTGCATGCCTTAGACAGCTCGGCTACCGTGACCGGCCCTACCAGCAGGTTTCTCAACCAAAATTCTGTATTCATTAATTGCCTTCTCATCCTAGCTACATCTCCAGCACAACATAAACTGGGACCTTTCACTATGTAATCTGCAGAACTTTAAATCACGAAATTTATCAGCATGTCGCTCAGCTACTCAAGAATTTCTCAACATATTATGGAACCTGAAGGCCCATTACCGTGTTCACAAGAACCCTCCACTGGTCCCTATCCTGAGCCAGATCAATCTAGGGCATACCACACAATCCTACATCTACAAGATCCATCTAATATTATTTTCCCATCAACGTCTAGTTCTTCCCAGTGTCCTCTTCCCTTCTGGCTTTCACACCAAAGTCCCATATATATCTTCTTTCCCATACGATCTACATGCCCTGCCAATCTCAATGTAATAGTAATAATAATGTATCAATTAATTACTCGTATAATAAACGTCTCAATTTAATAATATTTCCTTCTGCAATATGTAAATTGCATGATAAGAGGCGAATGGTTAATTCATTAAAAAACTAATTTTTATACAGTTATAATTAGAAGTTAACAATTATTGCAACGTTCATAATTTAGCCATCAAATATGGCGACGTAGAACCACATTAAGAAAGTCCGGGTTTCGAACATCAGCCTCCTGAAGGGTTTCGTGATTTTTCTCAGTATATACGCGTAAATTCTGAACCAGCATCTAAAATAAATCATGACAACTTCTTTTCTCATCCTTTCCAGTTCATGCTTCACGACCATCCTATCATTAAACTTTATATAATCTATGCAGTTAAAAAATGTAGTTAAACAGATGACGAATCGGTTAAAGATAAAACTAAAGTTGTTCTTCTGCTTAAACTAATTAATCACTAAGACATGAAGACGTATGTGGGAGTGGATGTATAGATCTGAGTATTCCTGACCTCGGCAATAACTAGAGGTGAGTAGTCAGCTTCACGCCCCGACCGATTTACCCTCGGAGAAAGAACCCCGGTACCCATTGCGCAGGAGGCTGGGAACAGTCAGCAATAAGTATCACTTTTTTTTCATTGGCGCTACAGCCCTCATTTGGGCCTAGGCCTACCTCCATGAAATTCTCCGTTCCATTTCGGTTTACTACATCTTAAGACATTTGGTAGGACTCCTTGGGCGGGTGCTCAGCTCGTCGCAAGGCCTCTACCTGTACACAAACATCCATGCCCAGGGTGGGATTCGAACCCACGATCCAGGCTTCCGAGCGAGCGAAGACAGTGCATGCCATAAGTATCACTTATAAGTACATAATTAGCCACAAAGATCCAACCATTGAGATAAATATATGTTGTATTCGTGATGAATTGAGGAGTTATTTGAGATTGCATTAATGAGGTGTACCAGTACAAGCTATAAAATAATGAAAACACATCCGTATTATATTTAATATTATAATTTCAGAGAGTCGCTAGATATGTACGTGTACAATACATGAAAAATTGCAGCCATACTTGAAATTTCGCGCCCTGCCAGTTGTTACAAATTAAGATAAACCGAGTTATCGCAAAATCTAAAATCTATCTACGGCGCCATACTGTACTGATCCTTTTATTACTAAAACATACGCAACCTGCGTAGCCACGTGCTTCGTAACATACATATCATAACCGCTGTTTCCATAAGCCAGAGCCTTTACTGATAAGCTGATAGATTCTATCGGTTAACATATTCGTTTCCTGCCTTTTAATGAACCAGCATCTTCGTTACTCTTCACAATGACCCGCCACCGATTTTAATCTGAGCCAAAATGAATGCAGTCCTCATCCTAAACCCCTTTTTCTTAAGATATTTTTTATATATCCCCTCTTCTAGTAAAATAATATATTATTGTTCAGTCACTACAGTGTTTGTGTAGTTACACTTTACGTCATGTATTAACTAATACATATTTCGGAAGAACTAACAGACAAGATATTAAAGTGAACGTAAGGAAATCTATATTATACCTGATAATGGTAAAAAAAGTGGGCCGAAACATGTACGAGTTAAAACATGACGTATGTATATAAACTTTTTGGAATACAATTTTCTATACTTTCGCTTTCGTAACCTAATACTCGCATCTATGCTCATATGCTGACCACAAATTTTTTTTAGGTTACTATAAAATTGAATGCCTATTTTTGTGATTACTTTTTCCGTTTATTCAAAAACGATAAGTAGAATGACTCATGCATGTGCAGACATGAGTTTTCTACAAACTTTCTTTCATTTCAGGATACGAAGCACAATTCAACAAATTATTTCCTGAAATTCTAAAATATCTACCAACACGTACCACTTCTAAGAATAAGGTCATAGAAACGGCGATATGCTGATTATATTAAACTGATTGTTATTGTATATCATGGCGTGATGTCTTGTCTTCCAGAGTTTTCGTAATACTGCTACAGAAATCGACACGTAACACATTCTTTGCATTCATGTGCCTATTTCTGAAGACTCCTCGCCAGCGCCAAAGCAGCATATAGCGCCATAACGAAAACTGAAGCCGCGTGGAAACCCGGCTCAGAGCGCCGGTTTATATTTTATATGCAGTTCGTAAAGATGCAACAGGAAATGTGTATTAACATAAGCACAGGGCAGCGTTCCGAGCCTCTCAGTGACCGAACGGCTGAAGTACATCATTCTTTGAGTTTGGTGTCACTGTAGAGAAACATTTATTGAAGGATTATAGAAATAAGAAATCAAAATTATTCGAGAAGTTCAAGACAAGAATAAAAAGTTTGTTTGCTTTTACATTTTAAAGAAGTATATAAATTGTTTGTTATAAAAATCTCGTTGAAAGAGATAATTTAAGAAGCTAAGGAATTGGTGGCCGGTCACGGTAGCCGAGCGGTCTAAGTCATGTACTGTCTTCGTTCGCTTGGAAACCGGGATCGTGGGTTAGAATCCCACTCAGGGCATGGATGTTTGTGTGCGTTTTTTCTGTGTTTGTGTACAGGTAGAGGCCTTGCGACGAGTTGATCACGCGCCCAAGGAGTCCTACCGAATGTGTAAGATCTAGAAAAACCGAAGTGAAGTTCATGGAGGTAGGCCTAGGCCCACTGGGGCTGTAGTGCCAAGGGGGGGGGGGAAGGAATTTGTAAGAGGATTAAAATAGAATTAGATATACAGGCCTAGGAAAAACTGGTCTTTCTTATAACTACGCTGAAATCATGGGTCCATAATTAGTACATTTCTCGAATTCACTGTAAATCATTTAATGCATATGTATCGGAGTCTGTTCCTTCGCCAAATGATTAGTCAATGTTAATGTTATTAGGTCATATTTACACAAAATCAGTGCTTTCAACTTCAACTTTGCCCTGTTTGACACCAAGGTTAGCCACTATAACTTGATAGTGTCTTTACGTCATCATCCTCTCAGTCTGACATGCAGGTCTCCTTCGACTCGAGACTTAACTGCAAATCTCCAGCCAGGACTATCACAACGGAGAAGAGAGCTTCTTCAAAGCGTCGCAATATACGCTTACCAAGTCTATGAATTCCCAGCTTTATATGGAATGCGAAGTCTTAGCAATAGCCCACAACCGGAGGGTATCCTAAACTAGATATATTCATTCCTGAACTTAGCTCCCATCTCTGTCACCCTGAAGAGGAGGTCCAAGTTCGTAGAACGTAATCCATATTTTCAGATTCAGGTCTTCTTGGTTGTGACACCGTTTAGCCTTGAAAAAGGACAACAATGCTTGGGAGAAACGTGTTGCCTTCTAGTGCAGAGTCAAAGTGCAACGTTTCCGCCTCATACAAGTTCCTACGGTGGTGAGTGTTCGTATTTTGAGCTTCTGGGTTGTAACAATAAATGTTGGCACTGAATATGGAGGCAGTAGATTCCTCCGAAACGTCACTATCTCCTTCCAAGATAACAATCAGAAAACTGCGATGAAAACATGAAGAAGGTATTCTCGTTATAACTTTTCATTTCATTTTTATCTGGCATTCATAATTGCTACAACAGTAACACTCAAACAAGTCTAGGGGTAACGTTCACACCTCATGACTCAAGGTACGCGGGTTCAAACCCGGCGGAGGTGGTGGAATTTTTAAGGGCGGAAAAATTCAGGGAATAAGTCCTCCAGGAGGGACTTTAAGCCGTGGGTCCCGTGTCGTAGCTTTACGGCACGTAAAAGAACCTCATGTCTGAGCTAAATTAAGGACATTCCCCGCCCAACAGTAGTCTCTAACGTCTCTGGTAGATGGGGGAAGCATCGAGATACCTCTGAGCCAGTAGAGGCCGACCTCGCTGGCTGAGTAGGGACTGATGGTAAACACCAGTACCGGTAGGGTATAGAGGCTGGTAGAAGATCATAGGGGGACGCACAATAGATCAAACTGGTCGCGGTGCATGGGGAAACCCACCCCCTCCAATAACAACAACAACAGTAACACTCAAACAAGTCACATCATTAAATACAATATTTTTGAAATCGTTCTGCCGAAATGCCTAAAGGATTAGAATTTGTCAACAATATATGATTACGCTTGACATGGTTAACCCATAATTAAAGTATAACACACATTATCAAACCAGATAAATAATCAAATTAGGTACAATATGTAAACTGAAATATAAGCCAAGCTTATGAGCTCATCAAGAGAATTTTAAGAGTATCATAGTAAATCAAGAGACCTAAATATGACTACGTCCATCACCGAACACGTAAGATAAACGCGGTTCGCAAAGTTAAGACAGCGGGAACGTACTTGAAGATATGTCGTAATGTGGTCCATTCAAAAATGAACCGTCGATAGAGAGCGTTTATGGTCCAAGACAAACCTGGATTATATTAAATTTTATAATCTGTTAATAAAGCAGGAATCCGGGTTTGTGTTTCCAGATGTTTTGTCGTCGGTTTAACGTACTTCTTACAACTGACATCAAAATGCGGTGGCGCGGTGCTGTGAGTAACACAGATTATTCAGTAGTATCTTAGTTTATTTAATGAAGTTGCATCGTCAATGCAGATTACTAAGTTATATAACTTAAGCAGTTGGCACAACGTCGTTATATAGCCTATACTGTGAGGATAGTCAGTGTACAAATACGTAGCTCCTTCGTTTTCAGGCTCGCCCATTTTCAAAGCAGCTTCCCGTTCTCACTGCCTTACAAATAGATCGTTCCAAATTCCTGTCTTTTAATTCACTCTATCAATTAACTGTAATTCCATGGGGCTGAGCCCTTTGCGAGAAACCATCAGTCGCTCAGCCACTCAAGAAATTAACAGAATTTTATGTAACCCGAAGGTTCACAATATCCCTCCACTGGTCCCTATTCCGAGAGAGATTAACGCTCAATCTTATCTCTCTAAGATTCACTTCAGAACTGTCCTCCCACTTACGTTTAGGTCCTCCTGATGGACTCTTTCCTTGGGGCTTTCCCACCACATTCTTATATGCATTCCGCTTTGTCCCATTCGTGCTACATGTCCTGCCCACCTCATTCTCCTTGACTTGATCATTCTAATTATACTTGGAGAAGAGTACGAGTTATGAAGCTTCTCATTATGCAGTTTTCTCCAACTTCCTGTCACTTCATCTCTCTTCGGTCCAAATATTCTCAACACCCTGTTCTCAAACACCCTCAGTCTATATTCCTCTCTTAATGTCAGAGACCAAGTTTCACACCTATATAATACTAGGCGAAAAATTATACAAAACTAAGATTTATAAGGAGGAGATCATGAAATTTAAGATTGTAATAGAGTGAATTCCCCCCCCCCTTGGCGCTCCAGCCCCAATTTGGGCCTTGGCATACCTCCATGAAACTCTACATTTCACTTCGGTTTACGAGATGTTAGATATCTGATAGGACTCCTTGAGTGGGTGATCAGCTGGTCGCAAGATCTCTGGCTGTACATAAACACAGAAAAACACTCACTCAAACACTGAACACCCATGCCCGAGAGGGTTTCGAACCCATGGTCTAGGCTTCCGATCAAGCGAAGACAATGTATGCCGTAGACAGCTCAGCTACCGTGACCGGTAATAGAGTGAATTGGTTTTGTAAAGATTACAGTATACAAAACTAATTCAGCCTATTATAATCTTTAATTTCCTAGTCTCCCTCTTATAAATTTCCGGCTTGGGCCACATTTTGCATGCAATCATATCACAACAACATTTCATATTTTTTCCTGGCTTTTTCATTCAATTTCGCAATTTATTTTACATAGCGAATATTTAATATTTGTTTGGATTAACGGAAGCCGTCAGCTTTCAACACCAAAGTTAGTACACTCACACTTTCCAACGGCCATGTATGTGCCTGGCAATTATATTTACACCTAGCTACAGGTCCCTCCGCTTGTCACACTACGTCACCGCGAAATTAAATGTTGATCAGACTGTAGTTTTGTTGAATGATTCCTCGTCACATACAACAAATTCCATTAACTTCTGTAATCTTTAAATGTGATTCAGGCTTTAAGTGGGAATCTCTGCTGAATCTCTGCTGACTGATAAGTCCTTCAATCATTTTACTTTGCTTTTTTACTAGATACGGGCTGGACCACTTGGGGAAGGGACATTTCGCCAACATATCCAACACGTGGCAAGCTGGCTTAAATGGAAGGGTCTCTGACGCGCATTGAGGAGGTGCCGGGTGCAAATCCAGGCCGGGACACCGGTTATTTAGATTGAGAGTTTTCTTGAACCCCCTCACTGTCTTCAGGCGAATGCCGGGATAGTATCTCAAATTAGGCCCCGATCGCTTCCCTCCTTGTCCTTTTAATTCACTAAAGATCCTAATCTGCTGCTGCTATAGGCTTTAGACTGCAAGCGAACTATACCGACCGAGCTATAGCAGCTTGTCAGCGAAGTCAGTGCAACTTTAGCGGATAGAAGGTGTCGCGTGGTCAGCGCAATAAATCCCCACGGCCGTTAATCTCGGTTTTCTAGACCGGACCTATAATCTTAATTCGTCTTTAAATGAACCAGAAACAGACAACATCGAACCTCCTATTCAACGGGCGTCGGGTACTATTTCACGAGGGGCAAACGACTGGAGCGTGTAGTTAATAACACATCAGTCTACTGCCAACAGTAATAATACGACAAAATTCACCTCGACACATCTATAATAATAGATTATAGGAATAATTTTACGCTCTTAAATTCCCTTAATAAAAAAATGCTTTTCATTCTAACTACGCACACGGAAATACAAGAATTCAGTTGATTACGTCATAAATACTTTAGTAGTTTTCTACTCAAGCTCCTTTGTAGACTGTTTGTTAGCTTGTTTCAACTTGCTAACATGTTCAAGAGGTCCTTACAAGGAGCGCTGGGTCAGCCGCAACGCGGTTGCGTGTTGTGCATGACGTCGCAACGGCAGAAGTTATCGGTATTCAGTCCGCGCCATAGCTCAAGCGGTTAGTCGCTGGCTTCCTACCGCGGCGGCCCGGGTTCGATCCCGGGTCTGGTCAAATGGGATTTGTGGTGGACAAAGTGGCGCTGGTGCAGGTTTTCTCCGAGTACTTCGGTTTCCCCTGCCAATCTTCATTCCACCAATTGCCCCACAATCACCCTCACCTATCATCTGGGGCTGGTACAATAGGCCAGAAGTGGCCGCAGTACAATGGACTTAGTCCCACCTCACTAACAATAAAAAAAAAATATCGTTATTCATCTGTCATTACTCACACTGCTTTGCTTACCAAGACCGATGCTAATTCACGTATGTGTAGAGTAGAGTATGGTATGGATGTGGGCATTTTATCACTACGTCCAAACACGTTTTTGTTTTTATTTGTAACGTATTTCTTTTTTCCGTTTACATTTTATTTTAATCTATATTTGTGACTGTTATGTAATACACTAGGGTCCATATATCCACTTGGAACCGTAATAAAAGTGCCAAAGCTTAAAACTGTCCACTCATCTTATCCTATTCTGAAGTCCTGCCTTCAGTCCCTTAACATGCCTTCGCGGTTTGGTGTTCAACCGCGCCCGTCACATTTTTCTGCAGATGGATTCAATAAGCTCCTCCGAAATGTTGTTAACCACCTACCAGATTACACGGTGTTATAACCCAGAAGACCATAATATCAATTTTCACGTCCGCCATTACCTCAAAAACCATAAACTCACCAGTCACATTTATTCACTAAAACTGAAGTGAATCATATATTTACCCTCGATAGTAAGTAAAGTTATCCCTGTGCTTACATAACTAAGCACTACACCATGATGGCGTGTGGGGGAGCGGATGTATAGATCCAAATTTTCTTGACCTCGGCACTAGTTTGAAGTGAGTGGTCGGCTTCACGCCCTGGCTGCTTTACCACCGTAGGAAGAGCCCCACGTACCAGTTGGATAGGAGGTTGGGTAGACCCCAGAGTCGGTCTGGGCGACGTGCAGAAGAGAAAATTATTGACCCCATCGGGACTCGAAGTCATCCAACCCGTAGCCAGTCGCTATACCGACTATGCTATCCCGGCACCTTACCCTTGATAATACGGCTCAAAAATGTTTTATCGGACACTTTTAGACTTGCATTGGCGAAGAATTTGATAAGAACCTCGCCGTGCAGGGAAAGTGCCTACAAATACGTTTTGGGCGTGTTCTCCTATAACCATTTTACTCTTCGCTACCTCGTGAAGGAACAATTCCATGGTCCACCCTGTTTCCTGTCCTATTGGTACCGCGGGTAAAGCCTCCGGAGCATTAAGCTGGCCATTCTATTTCATTTGCGTCACGGTTAACGTGTTTAATTTATTTGTGACGTTAATACCGCAGATTATAAAGTGTCGAACAATTCGAATGTTGGTAAGTAGTGAATTCGAAAGGATGTGGAAGGAGGCGGTCGTAGCATATTGTAAGGTACTATCCCGGTATTTGATTGGAGGGACTACGAAAAAGCACGTAAACGCTAGTCGCCAAGGTTTTCTTTATGGACACAAAATAGGCAATGCCCGAACAGTGTTTTTTTTTTATATTATATGACGTAATGAAACACGGCAATAGACAAGAAATCATTTGGCGTCATTATTGTTTTGGAATGGTGACGACGCGAGCGCAAATCATTATTAATAGAAGTGTGTGTGTGTGTGTGTGTCTGCACTTCCGGCGTCACGGCGTGCGGGAGCCAGTCTTCTCAGCATGCGTTGGCGCTCTGCAGTAACAGCTTGGTGACCAGACAGTGTGGACATGCTTGACGGGGTGGTCAACAAGGTGAGTGAGTGAAATGGCGGGTCAAGCTGACAGTTCATCCATTCACAGTGAGTGTCAGGACAGTAACGTTTGTGATGTTTGGCAGAACTGACGGTTTCTATACCATTAATTCTCATTAGATTTCAGTATCGTATGCAGGAATTCAGTTCGGGAGTGAATGATTATATCATCTGGGATATAAAGCAGTGTAGTCCCCTGAAAATAAACCGACGTTTCGTAGGAACATGTCTCCTCCATCAGCAGATAAAATTCTTCATAACCACTGCTGTGAGAACTTTAATCCTATAATTTTGGAAGCGTTTAGAAAAGTAAACAAAAATTACACGTCTATTTTTTTACGTTGGTGGAGATTTATATTGTAGTCTTCTAGAATGTGACACCGTGCGGTCTGGTAAGTGATTATTAAGTTTTCTACTCTTGAATTAATACGTTCCTCTGCAACGGTGGTAACCGCCTGCTAAAATACACGGTGTCACAAACCCAGACGGCAATATTATGAAAGGCCACATGCTCTGTTAACTACTAAATAACATGGCGCATGTAGTCTTTCAGAAGCTAGTAGTCACTCAGCGAGTCCAGAAGTTCTCCGAAAATGCTACAACCCGAAAGCTGATTACTGTGTTCACAAAAGCCTTCGAGTCCTGGTAAGGTCAACAATTTTCACTTCTCCATGTGGTCCAGACTGGCTCTGGGGTCCACCCAACCTAGTATACAATGGGTACCGTGGGCTCTTTCCCCGGGGGGTAAAGCGGCTGGGGCGTGAAGCTGACCACTCGCTTCTAACTAGTGCTGAGGTCAAGAAAATGTGGATCTATACATCCACTCTCCCATACGCCTTCATGGAATAGTGCTTAATTAGTTAAGCACAGGGACAAATTTATCTTTTAGTGGATTAAGTACCTTTGAAAATGTGACGAACTTCAAATGTCAGAAAACGACAATGGTTTCCTAGATTTCCTTACCGTACAATTTCCGCGATTGTTGTTTTATATGTAAGTGTGCTGATCACTAGCTTTTCGTAATGAGACGGTTAATAACAGCATTTCAACTGAATAATGAAGATTTCCGGAACTTACCATTCTTATAATTTCGTCATAAACTGTCTATATTCGTTGTTGTTATTCCAAGATATCTGAATTTTCACGCCTTTCGAAATGATTTATTTTATATATTATGATTTCTTCTTATTTTTATTACATGTTATATCTAAATATTTACTTACCTACAGAAAGCAGCAAAACAGAAGGACGCGAAAGAAAGTTAGGAAAATATTGCAACAGATTGAGGGAAACAAAATTGAAAATGTGAAACTGGACTTAAGTGACAAAGATATTGGGTTTTCGGACTTTATCCATCGTCCCGGTTTTAAGATAACTAAGAAAAAACACGACGTTTCAGAAACTGCATCTGTCCGAAAACCCAATATCTCTGTCAGAATCCTATAGTAACTACTTGGACTTAAGTGGCTCAGGATAGTGTCTAATGGCGGACAACTTTGAACCAGATACCCGGATTTAATTACGAGAGTAATTATGTAGCTATGAAATGACTCTACCCTTCATTTTTGGGTCCACATAACAGTTTCTTTAGAAGATTTATTAAAATTTTTTTTTCTTTTAATTTATCTAACAGTTTGAGGGTAATATGAAGGCCAGGCTGGCCGCCAAAAATCTCTTGCGGTGTGCCACTGAATAATCCGACTCCATGAGTCATGCTTCAAGTAGGAATGTCATTGTGTAATGCAGCAACCTAAATATAACGCTCTGTTAATTCTAGCATAAATAGGATTTTGAGTGCACATCCACCGAAGTCCAAAATTATAAAACTCACAGATGAAAATAACTCGGTAGTTAAGCGCATGGTGACAGTTGTGGGAGGTGGAAGCAACCAGCAAAGAAAGATGCAAGATTCCTCACACAGAAGTTCGGTCCAAACTGCATAACGCAACGGTTCTCAAATCTAATTTGCTTGGTACCCCCCTAAAAACAGCGCGAATCCCGCGTGTAAACAAACCTTGGGAAATGCAGATCTATGTTTTAATGCTTTATAACGTAGGTGAACAATGGTTACCTTTATATCTGTCATATGTACACGGTTATCAAGGTAGATTCAAAACAAAAATAACGACCACAGGTAACTGTTATGTATGGGAATGTCGAAATTGACTCAGGGGGAGCTATGACGCAGGAGTACTGGTACCACATTTTGAGAGACGGTTCTACAGAGTAAATGGCTGTTGAAGAAGTTTTCAGTTATATTCATTTATGAAAATCATCGAGTGGAATTTCGTGTATAAGAACATTTCCACCTCAGAAGACGAAATAATTACATTTAGAAGGGGAAAACCCTTTATGAGCAATACCGTTTTATAATACAAATATTACGTACTTCAACAAGTGAGGAATTTCGGTTTGTACTCATATTTAAGCTGCAGGAGAGCCTACGACAGATGTAATGATAATACTAACTAGGCTTCAAGGCCGCGCCATAGCTGAAATGTTTAGTCGCTGGCTTCCCACAGCGGCGGCCCGGGTTCCAGCCCAGGTCTGGTCAAGTGGGATTTGTGGTGGACATGGTGGCTCTGGATCAGGTTTTCTCCCAGTACTTCGGTTTCCCCTGCCAATCTTCATTCCACCAAATTCTTCATCATCATACTCACCCGGGGCAGGTACAATATGCCGATCAGTAGCCGCCGTGCCGAGTGGACCCAGCTGGATTCCACCCCCCCCCCCACTAAGCGAATTAAAAAAGAACTAGGCTTCAGCATTTCTGTGGAACTACTTACAGCAGTATAAAGGTGAAAAAATAGGGTAAATTTGGCGTTCTGCAAGCACCGCGCAATGAAGACGTACGGGAGAGTGGAGGTACAGCTCCACCCTTCTTGACCTCGGTATCAGATGGAGGTGAGTGGTTAGTTTCACGCCATGACCGCTTTACACCAAGAGAAATAGCCCCCGGCACCCACTGGTGAGGAGGGTAGACAGGCCTCAGAGCCAGCGTGAGCTGTGTGTAGTGGAGAAAATCTCTTGCCCTTGTCGGATATGGGACCACAGTCGTCCATTCAGAAGGTCTCCCTTATGCTGCCCTGCTTCTTTCTTTATGACGACCCTCTGTTGATACAGCATTTAGCTCACTGCGACGTACAGATCTTGTTAAAACACCACGACCCTACACGTATTGAACTTAGTAAGTTATAACATTGATCAGCGCTTTCAAAAAAGTCATATCGTTGAATTAACATAATAATGGAGAAAGTGAGAACCGGAACAGCTAAGTCAGTACAGCGATGGGTCATGGGCTGGAATGACAGGGTTAGATTCCCGGCAGGGCAAGAGATTCTTCTCTGCCCCACAGCGTCCAGACTGGCTCTGGGACCCACCCAGCCTCCTAGGCAGTGGGTGTCGGGACCTCTTTCTTTGGACGTAAAGCAGCAGGGGCATGAAGCTGACCACTCACCTCCAACTAGAGTCGAGATCAAGAATACGTGAATCTGTTTCCCCACACGTCTTCATGGCGTGGTGCTGAATTAATTAAGAAAAGGACCAGCTCCATCTCTAATGGAGAAAACGATCGCTCATCGCTGTAACTTGCATCTTCAGCGAACATTGTACGTTTAGGTACCCTTTTAATTTTAACGCGACTGTACTCACATGGAACTTTGCACCACATACGATGTAGACAGAAGCGGAAAAGAGATAGTGTACACAGCAATTAATCAGTGTTATACAAAGCTCGTTAAGAGTCTCGAAAGGCTCCGTACTTGCAAGCAAAGAGGCTCTCAAACTACACAACAGAACGCTGTTTCTGTCGTTCCTGCGCTCAAAACATCTCTGATGTTATCNGCTGGTTGCGATTTTGAACCCATTCGTATAGGGAAGAAAAGGGAGTATTATCTCTTTATTTTCATGGAATTTACGTACCACATCTTCGCTGTTTCAATTTTGAGTTCTTTTTGTTTTCTTTTTGCAATTCCAGTGTAACTCTATGTCAAATAATGGGAGAAACAATAATTCGGTATCCAAAATTAATTCATTATTCAAATGGTCACAACTTTACGCAGCTGTTGGTAAAAATGCAAGTCGAAACATGTCTTCGCTAATTTCTGGTTTACTTTTTCAACTGCTTGGTTTTAACAGAGTAGAAGCGAAAGATGTGTGCGGCAAAGAGGCCGGAGTGTAAAGCTCACCACTCACCTCCATCTATTGATGTCAAGATTGGTGGGGCTATATCTACACTCCCCCACTATGTCTTTATGGCGTAGTGCTTAATTAATTAAGCACAGGGATAACTGTGCCTTTTACTTTGTATTATTCTTACGACGCTGTTGAATTTATATATTGCCGTAAGAGAAATACAAGAAGGAAGATTACGGTCTTCTGGAATATGACATCGTGTTGTTTGGTACTACACGTCACATTTCAGAAGACACATTCACCGCCGTTAGAATCTCAGATCTCAGATATTAAACCGATTATAAATGACGAAATAGTAAATATGGGGCTGCAGCCCTGCCTACATTTAACTATCTTTAGTGGTTTTGGCATGAAGAGGCTGACGGAAGTCTAACTCTGTTCAGCGGATCTCTCAGTCAGGATTCAAATAGGCACAAATTACTGGATACGATAGAACTAAGTCGAGTTAACATTGCCTATAAACGCTTGTGTAACAATAAAATGTAAGGAGAAGTCACGCTAGATGCTTCTTTATTAACTCTGCCTGCGATCCAAAACAAAAACATATACCGAGAAGTCTTACCTGAAACGTTACATGTGTGTCAGTTTATTATCCAGTCTTCTCATCGCGTGGAAGTTTCAGAGGAACAGTTTCACTTTCAGTTGCGTTTGAACGATACAGAATATCCTCATCTGCCGCACGTTGAAGTCTCTTCTGAATTATATTTCTGTTTTCATTGCGCCACAGTGCTCCAAGGTCATAAAGAGGCATCTACAGTCATAAACCAACTGCTCATGTTTTACGAGACGGTGCGCAGAACTCGGCAATGAAATGCGTGTCTGAACTGTAGCTTCAGCTGGGAAAGCTTAAATATAATTTGATCCGGTCCGTTAAAAGACTTATGGGTCATTCCATGTGAAATCATCCAGAAAGGTCGCTCACCATTTTTAAAAAAAATTATATTTTGTACACTTATTTATACATATTTTCATACTACAAAAAAATTTTTAAAAAAATTCTAATCCGCTCAGTTCTCTCGGTACAGGCGTTTTTATAATGCGAAAAAACGCGTTTTCGGCTGAAATGGAGGTTTGCGTTATCNCACAGATCTGATACTTTCCCCCTCCCATTGGTTTTTGAAGGTCAAAAATAGCGTTTTTCCCAAAATCGATAGGTAAGTTTCAAGTTTAATTACACCTACAGAAAGTGAGCTGAGTAAAAACTTGTAATAATATGATTTGTAGTCCATATCATGAGGAACAAATAGCGTTTTTATTGGAGTCTGTAGCTTCAATAGTTATCGAGATATGGAAGATAACGCAAACCTCCATTTCAGCCGAAAACGCGTTTTTTCGCATTATAAAAACGCCTGTACCGAGAGAACTGAGCGGATTAGAATTTTTTTAAAAATTTTTTTGTAGTATGAAAATATGTATAAATAAGTGTACAAAATATAATTTTTTTTAAAAATGGTGAGCGACCTTTCTGGATGATTTCACATGGAATGACCCTTATTTCGTTCTATTCAAGATTCTGAAGAGACGACTGACTATATGGCTACCACCGGTTCTGCCAACTTATAAATTTACACAGTGTAACCTAACGTGAATATTAGATTTGAGATAAGATTACGTTCACGTGGAAGTAATTTTTTTTTTAATTCACTTAGTGGGGGGCGGAGTCCAACTGGGTCCACTCGGCACGGCGGCCACTGAATGGCCTATTGTACCTGCCCCAGGTGATTATGATTATGGAGAATTTGGTGGAATGAAGATTGGCAGGGAAACCGAAGTACTGGGAGAAAACCCGCCCCAGCGCCACTTTGTCCACCACAAACCCCACTTGACCAGACCCGGGATCGAACCCGGGCCGCCGCTGTGAGAAGCCAGCGAGTAACCGCTTGAGCTATGGCGCGGCCCCACGTGTATAATGCGTGAGATGGGAAATTGGAACCCGAATGAATGTAAAAATGGCCCTGGGAAGGGAAGAACTTGCCTACTAGAATTATTTTCCCCGATCATTCACGTAATATAAACTGACGCAGAAGACATAATTTAGTTATGTTTTAACATCGTACGATGTTCTCATTAACAGGATCGTCCGTATGGTATGCATCCGCTTCGGACACGGTAATTTTATGTAAGATTTGAGGTTTTCATGGCGGTGATTATGAAGAAAGCAGTCTTCTGGGATGTGGCGCCGTATAGATATTGTGTTAACCAACGTTTCGGAGGAACGTATCTCCTCCATCTTGAGGGTGGAAGAAAAATAAGAAAATCACTGTTAATCGACGTTTCGGAGGAACGTATGGTCTCTATCTTCAGGGTAAAAGAAAATGAAAATGGAGGCGATACGTTCTCCGAAACGTCGGTTAACACAATATCTACACGGCGCCACGTCCAAGAAGACTGCTTCCTTCACTGTAATTTTAGTTTACTGACCATTGAAACACAGAATTTCTTCCAAATAATACATAAAATTGAGTTCGTACCCCTCAGGAAACGCATAATATCTCCTTTACGAAACCAACCGGTTAATACTGTTTGGGAAACAGTCGCTGTTTATTGTGAGAACCACATAAAATACACACGTACACTCTGTGGGCAGAATGCAGAGATTAAATATGTTAAAGCAGGCGGTACATACAGTAACCACTGGGATTTCAAAAGGTTAAATACGATTTTAGTAAGAGAATATGTGGATATTTTTGGTAAGGCTGTCGTTTCGGTATGAACCGGGGGAAAAAAAAATCCAGGATATTAAAATGTCCCTCTGCATTTGATTACAAAATCTGCAGATACTTTGACTTGTCCGATTATTGACCATGCCAGCCAATAACTTATGAACTCCGATATTCTCTGCCGGAATCAGTTGAATACGGCATAAGCGAGTGACTATGGAAATTGCTTTATAGGTAAGTTTTTTAAATTAATTTATTTTAATGTATATACAACTGCCAACTTTAGCGAACAGAGGGTGTCGCGTGGTCAGCGCAACGAATCCCCACGGCCGTTAATCTCGGTTTTCTAATCCGAGGCCGCTATTTCCTTGAAATAGCTCCTCAATTATCCTTACGAGGCTGAGTGGACCCCGATCCAGACCCACTACTTCTCAGAAAATCTGGTAGACCTCTTGATCTGTAGCCAGGAACTCTGACCAGTAGACACTAACTTCGCCGACAAGCGTCGGTAGCTCGGTCGGTATAGTTCGCTTGCGGACTCAAGCCACGGAGTTTGTTTTTTGTATATACAACTTAAAAATGACACCGTAGGGGGTCCCTGAACGTTATTATAACTGAAAACTAAATATCGTACTATGTCCATGAATAACACAGTAATTCGTCACGAACAGTCCCACAAACAATTCATCTTCACAAAGAGAAGTTACTTTTTGTTCTAAACATTCGTTCACGGTAGCTCTACCTGTAATATTTCTTGACGTTCAAATACGCACCAATTCCATTTTCTTAGGATTTGAGGTTCTCATAGTGACGACTATGAAGAGTTCTGTCTTCTGGGATATAACGCTGCGTAGTCGGCTGAAAGTCTACCGACGTTTCGGAGGAACACGTAGCCTCCATTTTCAGGCCCGAAGAATATGCCAAGCAAGAAACCAGCGCGGAAGACAGAACTCTTCCATTGCAATTTCGACCGAAGTTTACAGCGTAATTATACAGCCTCTTACTTTTGTACTTAAAATCTTCGATTGGAAACTTGAGCGGTGACCGGTTATCCTAACTGGGGTTCGCCGCATTTTCATCAATCTCTTGAAAGTGAAGATAATAGCTCAAAGTAAATTACGATCATTTCATCCCACGCACTTCTGAGCCTACCATACATCATCGTCATCGTCAACATGAAATTTATTTCAACGCTTGATAACTTCTGTACGAGTAATTGGCACAGAAATTGTAAACAAAGAGTCATATCAGTTTCTTTCTTGCTGATGGTAAATAAACAAAAATAACCATGCCAACAGTTTGCGATCCGTATTGCTCTCAGCTGGGGAGTTCCTGTAAGTTTCTGGCACATATTTTAAAATCACGGACGCGTTTGACTATTTTTCGTTTATAATAAAAATTCCTCAATCTTTGTGGAATATATTTAGCTACACAAAACTTCAGCATTCTGTACGATGGCGGATGAACATTGTCGTCGAGTTACTGCTGCCTTACATGTGAATAACTTTGTATACGTCACTGCACAGATTACATAACACGGAAGTATAATGACAAGGTTGAATCTTTCTTTCCTCATATTTCATCTCCGAAATTATTTAGATGAAATTTGAAAATGAGCTCCAAACAAAAAAATTATTAGTTTAATTCGGTTTTGAAGCACACAAATCAGATATAATAGCGTACGCTTATTCAAAATTTAACTTCCTTCAAATTTCACATAAAAGAAATCATGCAATGTAGATCCGATTTAACATCTAAAACTCGTATTTCAAATAATTGTTTATTTATGAAACAGGCAAGGAAAGATAAAGTCTATCAAGTGAGATATGCTTTGTAGCAACAGATCTCTTTTTTCCTGTAATAAAAGCACATCAAATCAAAGAAGTAAAAGAATAAAGAATACTTTTCTAAATGGACGAATTCGGTTAAAATATGCCCTTAAAATTCCGTTTTTAATATTATTTTCTGGTTGAAATATGAAAGAGAATCCATTCATATATCGTAAGTTGAATTATGTCAAACTTTTTATATATTTGGCATCTTAACTGGTATGTCATGTAAAGTGACCTGACATTGACCAGTTGGCCAAGTTCACTATTGAATTAACTTGTAACAAATTTGGAAACTTGCCACCAGGAGGTGACAGAGTGACTTAAATACTGACTATAAATACAAGTTATATGCATCTTTTGTGGCCACGTAAATTCCGTTTTACAAACTTCTGTAAAACAAATTCCATGGGGCATACCTGGGGATCCAAATGACTTTTTCCTAGACAGGATGGCCAGTTTTACGCGGGGGAGTCACAAAATTTGCTTACAAACGTACGTTCAACCCGTTTAAGACAAATTTCGCTGATAAGCTATGAGTTAAACAATAACTGAAAAAAAAAACCTCAAAGTTTGCCATTAATATTTGGCATATTTCCTCCATTCTTCCGAAAATCCAGGGTGCCAAATGCCTGATTCCCCTCCCTATTCTGGCATCCACGAAAAAAAAAAAAATCGTTCAGCTGTCAAGAAATCTCCCTTTCCCTTCTGAAGCCCGAAACCTGTGCCCCATGCTACCCCTGAATAGTTCATCGGATTTTATGCATATTCGATATTTAGGAGTTCATCCAACACACATCAGTGCTAGAGGGATATGAATATTCTAGCTCCAGAAATAGGGGCCCCTCAGATGGGCCCCAGAAAACAGAACTGTCTTTTTTCAAAAACGGCCCAAACGATTTTGATTGAATTTCTGTAATTTATGGAGGCGATCTCGCTAAATGAAACTATATAGGTGGGATCTTCAGGATGATAACACTATGCCCTCTTACAGCCCAAACATTTGGCGGGAAAGCACCATATAAGAACAACCCTTATTTTGCCGAGTAAATCAGAAAAAGTTTTCTTTTCCCCAAATTAAACATTATTAGGATTAGCAAACAGAACTCTTTATCTTCTTCATAATTATTGTTAAGGATCCGAAAATGAGGTGACCCATCTTTTTGTAAGCAATATAAAAAAAAAAAACATGCTTTATATTTAGGCTAACATGTTATGCAAAAAGTTTGCACTGATTTTTACATAAGCTGTATTATGGACTAAGCCCAAAAATGTCCCAGCACATATTTACAGTAATTATATACTGTCTTCTTTTCAGTTCATTCAAGATGGTTATGTGGTGCTGGATGATTTCCTGACAGCTAATGAGGTAGAGGAGTTAAGGAAAGCTGGAGATGAGCTCATCCAGAACATCCCTGAGGAATCTCACAGAGCTGTGTTCAGTACCACAGATGCTCAACAGGTAGTGAAGTACAGACTGTTTACTCAAATATAGAAGTATCCATTCTTCATCTGCGATGTAGCTGTTTCCCTTGTCAATACCATAACATGCAGTAGTAAAACTTTAAAGGATGATGATTTACCTTCTTTCTAACCTCCATGCACCAGCAAGATGAGTGGGCACTGCATGGAAATCTTTAGAACCAAAAATATTTCTTTCTCCCCATAAAACATGTAGTCTCATATATATCAGATTTACATATTCAGTAAGTCTTACTTAGCTGGAAAAAGAATCTTGAAATATTTTCACGTTCGGTGTACAGTTAATGAGATTTTAAAAAAGCCAGGTAGTTCTTATAATAAAGAGACAATTACACTAATAAATTCAAAGAAAAGTCGTTTTGCCACATATAGTTTCATAAATATAGCACATAACAATTTCATAAAAAGCCATTAATTTTGCCTGAAAAGAACACCTCAAAATTAGAAAACTGTACGCTTGAAACATGAATAAAAGTATGGCCTCCAATGGCTATGAAAGGGGGAGAATGATTTTCACTCTCAAATGGGACACTGTTTCTTCTCATTTGTCTTCTTTAGGCAATTATGATCAAATTAAGAATAAGCCATACACTACATTGTGATTATGTTTCTTTGTTTACAGAGCAAAGACAAATACTTCCTGGGGAGCAGTGACAAAGTGAGTTACTTCTTTGAGGCTGATGCAGTGGATGAGAATGGCAAGCTACTGGTGGAATCCAAAATAGCACTCAATAAAGTAGGCCATGCTCTGCACTGGTTAAACCCCACCTTCAAGAAACACACATTTTCTGAGAAAGTGAAAGAAACTTGTTTCCAGCTAGGACTTGTGGAGCCTGTTATTGTACAGAGCATGTATATCTTTAAAAATCCTGGTGTTGGCAGTGAAGGTATGGACCAACATGAACATTCTCACTTTCAAAATCATACTTATGACAGCGGGTGGCAATCCTGCTTTGTATTTGGGAAGTTGTTAGTTTGTGCCTTGGTTTCCCTTGATCCCTTCAGGCAAATATCAATACAGTAATTAGAACAGCTGTAAACGTGTCTTCCTGCATCCTTTCTCCCTCCTTACTATCTGCCAAAGCACGAGGACTCATAAAGGGAAGTACAGGTAAAGTTGAGTAAACTCTATACTTTTACAATAAATTTAGCAGTCAACTTTATGCACCTGAGGGAAGAATTCCTGGTACATTTTATTCATTTATTTAATGGTGCTATCAGTAAACTTAACTGTATAATGTCAGATGATCAGTGAGTGATGAATTGGAAAGGGTGTGGAAGGAAGAGGTCACAACATAATTTCAGATGCTATCCCAGAATTTGCCTAGAGGGACTGAAGAAAATCACAAAATACTTGTCAGGATAGCCAGTGTCCCAGCCAAAATTAAAATTTGGCGCCTCCCAAATAAAATCAGTAGCATTACTATTAAAAAAAACTTGCTTGGTTTCCTGGTACACATTTTATAGGAGACCTGGTGGGCTACAGATCTTCTGGACAAGGTGTAGACAAACATTCCCTTAACAGAAAATTGAACTACTCAGCTACAACTTAGCATTTCCAATCATGCCATTTTTAATTTGACCCTGCTTCATATATGAAGTTAAGTTTCTACAGTTGACACAGTATCATTAAAACACATTTCTTCTATGAATATATCTCAAGCATTCCAATTAGAACAACGGTCGTCCAGGTGGCAGGTGACATTCTACCCATCTATCTTGGTTTGTATGTATTGTAGGTAAGAATATGATGATGCATATTCTTCATTGGTGTACAAAGACTGGTTCACAGTGACAGCAACTGCACTGCTGTACAATCTCTCCCATTCCCAGCATTCTCAAAATACCTCAATTAAGTGTGTTTGAAGTTGAATCCCTGGCATTTGCCTGGAGCGAGGGAAAATTCAAAATATCCCAAGTCAGGAAAGCTGACAGCATGAAAGATCTGAACCAGGTAAATAAAAAATAAAAGCCAAATGGCCTGCTACTCAGGTATTTTCACTAACTTGTAAAATTAATTCATAACAACTAGACTTAACAGAATGTATCTGTATGTCCTCTTCACAACAAAACACCTCAGTCTAGTGATCATACTCCTACTTATGTGGGAGACTTTGCACTCAAATCTTGACCTGGACACTAGTTATCTTGAGATTTATTTTTGTGGTTTTCTTCACATCACCCAAGCAAATGCTAGCACAGTTTCTCAAACTAGGCCATGACCACTTCCACATCCTTTCTAAATCATCAATTATCATCTGGTGCTGATAGTAACATTAAATAAACCATAATCAATAAAACATCATCTATGAAGAAATGCACATATAGTTCAAAGGACTGTTAAGTAAAACTGTGTATACAAAATTGAAACAATGGCCATTACTTGCAGGATTTAATCCTAGTTTCTGTATACACAATAGGAATTGGGATAGTTCCGTCAGTATAGTAACAGGCTATGGGATGGATGACCAGGTTTCAATTCCTGGCAGGGGAGATTTTCACTTCTCCATAGCATTCAGACTGGCTCTGGAGCCCACTCAGCCTCCTATCCAAAGGGTGCCAGGGGCACTTTCCCTAGTGGTAAGGCAGCTGGGGCTTGAAGCTTACCGCTAAACTCTATCTAATGCTGAGGTCAATCATAGTGGAACTATACCTCCACTTCCCCATATATCTTCATGACACAGCATCTAATTAACTAATGTACACACAGTGTTCCCTTTCAGTAAAAGGAAATGAAGCATCCAGTCACATTGAAGAGAGCGAACATGCCTGAAGAATTGTGTGTTGCTCACAAATTGTTTGTTGATCTTTTTGTAATCAATCTGTCCTTCAAACTCCAGTTCTGAAAGCTTCTCACAAAGCAACATGATCCAGGACATAACCAATGCAAGAATGAATACATTAAGTGTCTTAGATTCTCGTTTCTGAAACCAACTTCATATGTTTTGAAGAACTTGCATTCAGATAACCAAGCTTAATGCTTAAAACTTTAGTTTCTGTATATATACAAGTCATACTGTCATGTGATTGACTACAATCAGGGTTTGGATTGGTAATCTGATTTACTGAACACTTACGGAATGTAACTAGAGATAGCTATAGCGCTAACAGTAATTCACACACTCTACAATTCACTACATGTACAAAGTCTTCTAAGTTTGCTGTACCTTCATGGGTTGTCGCCTAGCAACAGCTTCCAACACTGTAACTTCCTCAGCTGCTTCCATGTTCAAGTCCTTACTGGCTGGCGACTGTCTCACAACTAACTTAACTTCAGACTTGTACTGCTTCTATCACCTCGGCATGGACCACATAGAAAACATGGCTACCAGTGTTCTTTTATTGTTGTCACATAACCGTCGCATGGACTGTGTAGAAAATACTGCTTACCAGTTAGTCCATTACTGCGTGTTGGGAATTTGATGCCTAGAAACAGGCATTGTTTACAGAGACAATACTTAGCAACGGGTCTACATGCTATAATATTATTAAATATTCAGTTTGATTAATGAAGTTACTAATAAGAGCACAACTTGTAAATATCTTTTTTGCAGTTATACCTCACCAAGACGCTACTTTCCTGCACACAGATCCTGTAAAGTTGGTGGGGTTTTGGATAGCTCTTGAAGATGCAACTTTAGAAAATGGATGCCTGTGGTTTGCTCCTGGATCTCATAAGAGTGGTGTGCACCGGCGCTTCATTCGGAATCCAAATCCTAACTCTGAACAACTGCTGATATACGATGCACCAGCGCCTTGCTATCCAATATCTAACTTCCAGCCAGTCCCTGTTAATAAAGGTAAGATTTTTTCAAACCTAACATACCAAAATCTGTAACTGATGTATGGAGAGGCAGATAATAACAATAACAAATATTTGGATTCCTGGTTGGAACACTGAAATACTGTTTTATCATCATGTCCAGAACAAATCTGGATCACATGCAGCACTCTATATAATGAGTACTTGGGACCCTTTCCTAACGGGGTAAAGGAAGCCAGACTGTTAAACTCAGAAATAATCTCCATCAACAGCTCTGAAGTATGATTTATAATATCAGAAGTCAGAAAGATAAAGCCAATGTTTCTCTTCTTGTCATCAACATTTCAGGGGCATGCGATAGCACAGATGGTTGAGGCACTATGCTACAAGCCAGAAGGTTGCAGGTTCAGGTCCTGATGAGGTGGATTTTTTCAATTTAGCCAATCATTCCAGCCACACTATGGACCTGGGGTTGGCAGCGCCTCTCACAGAAATGAGTACCAGGAATCCTGGCACATAGGGCTGACAACCTTACTGCCAACTATGAACCAAATGTCTACAGAAAATGTGGGAGCCTCGACATCTCACAACCCTATAGACCTTCACTGCCTGTTACAGGGATAGCTGTACTTTTTTAACATTTTGTCATCAACATTTCAGAGGAATTTGCTACTTCCATATTCAGGGTACAAGAGAAGTCTCTTGTACCCTGATGATGGAGGCAGTAGGTTCATCCAGAATGCTGGTTAACTATCTACCAGGCTACATGGCATCACATTCACAGTCACTGCCATGAGAACCTCAAATCTCACACGATTCATGTTACTGCTTGCAATTGCAATAACACTATTAACAATAAATTTCAGGTGCGTGTGTGCTGATCCATGGCCAGGTGGTCCACCGTAGCAACACAAACAAATCAGGAAATTCTCGACATGCATACACATTTCATGTGGTAGACATGCATGGAACTACTTATTCACCTGATAACTGGCTGCAACCAAGTCCTGATCAGCCGTTTCCACAAGTCTACAAGAACTGAAAAACATCAAAGCATAGTGCTACAGCAAAGCTACTTGAAGAAATATTTCCCATTGTTTATAGAAATGAAATCATCAGAAACAAATGTTATCAAATAAAAAGTATGGAACTAATATGTATGTGATTTTTCCTTGAGAGATAAGGAACGGAGAGTTGACAACATTCAGACTGGAGAGAAGAAAAGGGACACAGCATGTGACAAAGTAATTGCCAAATATTTTATCTGTCATAAGGCACCACTAGATATATGTCCTTGCTGTATATTTTCTCAGTCAGTAGGAAACACACAAATGTACACTCAGTAATTGTGATGTGGTATATTCCTGATTAAATCCAAATGAGCATACGATTGACTTTTCATTCAAGTACACCCATGTTCACTACCAAATACAACTTTAAATTCCCTGATGTTCTAAAATAATATTTTATTTACTTCATGCTACATGTTTCATTTGTTTCTAAAAATTTTCTGGGGTAAATGCCATAATATTTTTAAACAGAATCCATACATTAGAAAAATGATGTACTCCTGAAGATGTCTGAAAAAAATAGATGAAACATGTACAGTGAAGTAAGTACAGTAAAATTTTACAGCATCAAAGTATTGTAAGTTGTACCTGATGAACAAAGGTGTTAATTATAAGCAACACAAAGGTATACTGTACATATATCTTTCCTCACAGTATAATCAAATCAGTTGATTCTAACATCTATGACTAACACCTTGATCATTACATTAGTTAAGTCCTCCATTCATCATTCAATTTACAAATGTTTATTTCTTCAGTAGTTCAAATGTTGTACAATAGCATCTTCTCAAATATCTGAGGAATTTAAATAAATACTAACTGCACATATGCTAAGTGACTTGTCTTTTGTGGCCATATGTGTTCACTGCTTTCACAGTTCAGTTGGCTATGTAGATTTCAATTTACTGTTTCACTATAGATGTTTGCTTTTCAATTGATTTTTCATAACTAGCTCAGGAACACAGTTACCTGACTGACACAGAGAGTGGGGGGAATGTTTCTTCGGTCACAATTTTTTTAAACTGTGCTCCCACATTCAAAACAAAAAATTAATATCTTATAGTTTAACAATATGGAAATGAAAACAGAAATTGGTATGTACCTGCATATTTAGGTAATAACAGTCTTGAACAATATATATAAAATACAGAAATGTGAAAATCAAAATGGAACTGGCATGTATCTGTACATTTACCAAATAAATATATTGTCACGTGTTGGGTGTATAATGCGACAAATAACTTCACGCCGTATTTGATATAGCGAATTTTATTTCACATTCACACTTATAATCACCCAAATTACAGATTCACAATTACTGCTATCTGCAGTATCACAAATACTACACTCCAAATGCCAGAATACAACTGACTGGTTGCTGGCTAACTCGGAACTAACTCGGAGGTAGCTCGAGGACTAACTGTGAATAGCCTTTGCTGCTCCTTATGTAGCCTTGTTCGGACAATACAGAAAACGGCCACGTAATAGGCACCACTGCTGTCTGGTGCCGTCGTGCTAGCAACGCTGTGTACCGCTGTTACTACCGTCGTCTCTCGCAACCACTGTTTACCCGCGCTGCCTAGCAACCAGGATGCTGGGACTCGGCTAACTTCGGCTGGCGGGGGGGAGGGGCGTCATCCACAGCTCAACATGTCACAATATCATAGTTGAGCTGTTACAGAAATTTAAGAAAAAAAAAAGTCCCTGTGCTTAAGCACTATACCATGAAGGTGTATGGGGGAGTGGATGTATAGATCCACATTTTCTTGATCTCAGAACTAGCTAGAGGTGAGCGGTCAGCTTCATGCCCCTGTTACAAAAGTATAAAAGAAAATGTTTCTAGATACCTTAAGGTAAAAGGGCTTTTACCTGAAAACGAAGACAGAATCCAGTCTCTGAAATGTTTTAAATAAAAAACAGGATGATGGATAATGTCCAAAAACTTAATAACTGGGTTAGTTTGGTTTGCCACATCAGACCACCATGCATCCATCTGTGCAAGCACTCATTAATGGGGCAGAGCTGTCAGATTTGCGAAGGTTAGGTTAATCAGGTCTGCATAATAGAACACTGTGCATCCCATTGCACATTTGTGCACAGCTTGCTAGGGTGGTGCTATGTTAGGATAGGGTATGTTAGGACCTGTATCAGATCACTGATCATGTACATGGTGTTTATTACTCCAAAATTTTTCAATTATATACAATTTCCCTATCTCTTCAGGATATATTGAGTCTTGCAGCACACATGGGAAGAATTTCAATATTGCATTGACTTACAAAGAGTAATTAATGGAGCATACACTAAACACCTCTAGATAAACTCTGTGAATTTTCAATCTGTTTCAAGTTATTTCATATTTGTATCGGCAACCATCTTGAAAGTGCACTCATTTCTTATCATACATATCATGCATACTAGTCTTGTATCATCCTGTGACAGGGCTGTGCCATAGCTCAAGTGGTTAGTCGCTGGCTTCCCACTGCAGCGGCCCGGGTTCAATCCTGGGTCTGGTCAAGTGGGATTCGTGGTGGACAAAGTGGCTCTGGGGCAGGTTTTCTCCAAGTACTTCAGTTCCCCTGCCAATCTTCATTCCACCAATTGCTCCACAATCACCCTCACCTATCATCTGGGTCTGGTACAATAGGCCAAAAGTGGCCGCAGTACAAGGGACTTAGTCCCACCCCACTAGCAATGGAAAAAAAATCGTGTGATAGAAAAATAGACCACCAAAAGTTCTAAATGGCTTTGGTTCCAAAAAAGGACAAGAGAACTGCATACTCAATCTGCTATGAAATGAAGACTAAATGCATAACCTAGAAAAATTATGTCTTGCAGCTTGAGACAACAATCAATCATTCGAAAGCTGCAGATGAAATGAATGACTACCATATATATGTACTCACAGTACAAATTGGCCTGTGTATAGACCCATCTGCATTTACCACACAAAGGTAAACTTCAAAATCAGAATTCTGTCACAACAATAGAAGAAAAACTCTTCCAGAGATGTAAGAACTATTCCTACATAGTAAAGGTTAAATGCCAATTAAATTCAGTTGTGAGCTTATGAGGTAGGAAATGAAATGGTTGCAGAAAAATGTTGAAAGGAAATAGTAGTTTTAGAAATTAGCTATAATATACTATACTATAGCTAATTTCTAAAACTACTATATATATATACTCTATCAAATTTATTCACATGTCAAAATTAGAACACAACATAAAACGAAATATCAATTTAAAATATATATTTTTAAATATTACATATTATTTTAAAGAGGATAGGAGAAAGTACTGAGTGTCTACTACAACAAACTTACTCAAAGGTCTACCATACACTGCACTTCTATTTTGATTATTCTGGAGTATGTATTTCCAGTGAAGCAAAGTTTGTTCCATGGCAATAAGCTGCCTGAAGAGATATTAGGACTCAAGTGCAGGATTTGGCTGGAACACCATGGACTTCCGAACATCTGAATCCAGTTGCTTCAGCGAGTTCACACACTGTAATCTAGGAGTTGTACGATAGTAAGATAGAGAAGCTCTTGTGCTGCGACGTACTGGAGTGACAACGTAATGTAATGACTGTGGTTCCACTTTTAGATTAGTACTCAGGCTGCAAGAAATAAGATTATATAATTGTAATTTATTTACTGATGCTCTCAGTACCTAAGTATACCAGCATCAAATGAATGGATGTTGGTGTACAATGAACCAGAAGTCATGTGGAAGGATGCAGTGGTGGCTTAATATGAGGCACTATCCCAGAGGGACTGAGAAAAGCACAAAAAAGAAAAAAAGAAAAACTCAGGATTTAGTGTCCAGCTGAGATTCGAACTACGTGCCTTTGAAATACGAGTTAGAAGTGTCACTGCTTGAGCCAGCCTGCTTGGTAAGAAAAGAAAGTAAATTCGATCTGTGAAGAGAGGAAAAGAATACACAAAAACCAGGGTCCAAAGGGTCTGATTGCTGTGTATCATGCAAGATGAAATGCCATTTCCTGTAATTAAAAATATATTTACAACCTATTACTAATGCTCCTAAAATAAATTACAAAGATGGTCTTTGTAAATAAGGTCCGGAGATAGGACTAGCTCTATCGACTGGGCCCAACAAAGTAGGTTCTACCTGAAGAGCGAGACAGAATCCAGTCTCCAAAACGTGGTATTTAGAAAAATAAATAGGATGTTGTTTTTAGATAAAGAGAGGACGATGGATAATGTCCAGAAACATAATATTTGTATGGTTCTCATAGCTGGTTTTTATAAATATTATAGGTGTGAAAATAATACATACCTTCTTAAAACTTTCTGTTGCAATGCAAATTTTATTATGGATGATTTAAAAACGTTACGGGCATCAAGTACATTTTTACGTTGTGTTTTGACACTGGTGCTTCCGTCATTTCCCAAATCACACTTGAGATTTAGCATGTTGAATTTTTCCATCAACTGATCAAGAGAGTCACCAACCTTAGTAGGCTAAAAATGGAAGATTATTCCAGGAATCAGCACATAAAAAACTACACCACACATTATAACACCAAGTAACTACAGCATAACATAGAAAAGTATCACATACAATCACATAATACCACATCAACATCAACTTTACTTCACATGCAATTAAGAAAACTTCAAAAAGACAACACTCAAATATAGTTACCATGCACAGGCTCTGATAAAAACAACATAGTGCTGCTACTACGTCAACATTACAAGTCTTAGATGCCATATTTAATATCAGTATTTCAACCAAGCAACCTCACATGTCTAAGTATGTAGATATAACACAGAGGTTCATAATTATTCAGAAATAAATAATTATTCACACACATGCATACCATATACATATTTGTATATACATACAAATACTTTACGTATATTTTACCTTACAGTTATACATAATTTTAGTTTTTATTTTTACTTTATATTGAACTTTCATTACTTTCATATTTCTTATTTATATCTTAAATTTTATTATTCGACTATGCAATAATTATCCAACTGCATAACAGATCAAATGTAAACACATTCAATAAAATGAATGGCCAGACGATTCATTAACTAATATTTAAGTACTGTACCACCTAAGGATGACCCAATAGTAGGGTCAGAACCTGTAGTGGATTAAATGAAACATGTTAAAGTACTAGACAGTTGTGTTGATGGTCTTGAACAGATTTTCTACTTGTATAAACACAACAGGATGCAAAACTCAAAGAATATTTCATCTTGCTTTAGACTGATTAGGTCACTGGATACAGCAATAACAGAAGAAGAGAGAATTGTGGGAAATTTCATATTCTGAAAATGTAAACTTTGCAGAGATCTTTTATCTGATATTTGTGAATCACTTGAATTACGTAAGCACATTTATGACAATTTTTTAGAGAGAATGTTTGCATTCACTGGGCACCAATCTATGATAGATAAACTATATTTAATATGAATAAAGACTCTCCAACCATTCAGGCACTGTTGAAGCATATAAACATACAGATGGCATTCTATAAATTAATGTAAACTTCTAAGTCCATCAAAATCTCAAGATGTTTTTTAGTCACAATAATTTTTCATATGACATATGCAAGAAAATAAAATCAAACAATCTAATACTTATAGCTGAAGCTATAGACAAGAGTTTATATAATATTTTTTAATGAAACTGTGGGATATCGGGTCCAGTACCTGGAGAGACAACCATGTAAATTTCTATATCAGACATTTATTGCCGCTAGAAGTGAAATGAATGTGGAGAAAACAAAAGTAATGAAAATTTTGAGACAACCAACCCCAGTCACAATAAAGATGGAACAAAAACAACTGGAGAATGTGAAATGTTTTAAATATTTGGGTAGCTTGTTAACAGATGACGGAAGGTGTACTAGTGAAATTAAATCCAGGATTGCCATGGCAAAAGCTGCATTTAGCAAGAAAAAGAATCTTTTTACCAGCAAATTGGACTTAAATGTGAGGAAGAAACTAGTGAAATGCTGCATTTGGAGCATAGCTCTGTATGGGGCTGAAACATGGACACTTAGGGCAGTAGATCAAAAACATCTGGAAAGTTTCGAAATGTGGTGTTGGAGAAGGATGGAGAAGATAAGTTGGACCGATTATGTGAGAAATGAAGAAGTGTTAATTAGAGTCAGTGAGCAGAGGAATATCCTACACGAAATAAGAAAACGGAAGGCTAATTGGATTGGTCATGTTTTACGCAGAAACTGCCTTCTAAAAGAAGTTATTGAAGGAAAGATAGAGGGGCGGATAGAAGTGACAAGAAGACGAGGAAGAAGACATAAGAAGATGCTGGATGACCTTGGGGACAGAAGAGGATACTGTCATTTGAAGGAGAAAGCTCTAGATCACATTAAGTGGAGGAATTGTTTTGGAAGAGACTGTGGATCTGTCGTCTGACAGATTACTGATGATGATGATGATGAGAAGAAGTGTATACAGATGAGCAGGTAAGCAGAGTGTGCAGTAACCAGGGAGGTGTTGTGGGCCCTGAAAAGGGCCATAACTTACTGTCGTAAGACATAGTGTGCCTGATGAATGCCGGTGAAACTCTGGCTGCAGCAGGCTGGCTCATTGGTCTTCCTTGCATCTTCAGCCAGCTGACTCCAAGCTGGCTTGTCTTCCTTGCGTCGGTGGCCAGGTGGCTATGAGCTGGCTGGCCTTCCTTGCATTGATTGATGGTGTTGCTGCTAGGAAACATTCTGTTGCTTTCTGCGCTCCAGATAAGCTGTCTGGATGTAAGCATGCTGCAACTGGTTGGTGTGTCAGGGGTCTGCATCTTTATATGCTGTTGCTAGCAGCATGCAACCCAATGGGCATTGCAGCTGCCATGGTCCACATTGATTGGATAGCATTGCGGTAGGCTTCCACAGAATCATGGCAATGGATACATTGCATGAAGAATGTGTTTTAAATATATTTTTATAATTCTAAGGTTACAAACTCATTATTCAAACCTACCGAAGCTCCTCGTATTATTGCTCTTTCATAGCAGTCCACTGCAGACTTGAAGTCTCCTCTAGCTTCTTCCAGAGCAGCTACACACTCCCAATATATGGGCACTTCCTTTATACCAGGACAGAATCTGCGAATCATGGTCAGCCATTCTTCACACTGATTCCATGGATAACCCTATAAAATTATTATTTAGAGTAAGTGGCAGTTATATCTGACCAAATATAATTAAGACTCATGAAATTGGTAAAACTATATTTACTGCTTCTGTTACATATTTACATGGAAACAGCTGTCAGTAATATGAAGCAGCACATTACAAATACATATTGTAATGTGTTAATTATAATTCAGGAACTTAACGTTAATTCAGTCTTCAAAGTTTATCAAAATGCTGACACTTATCTAAGTTTCTAAAATCAGTATGTAAATTTGTAATATTATATTTAACACTAATAATCCATCTACCTGTATCACTTGAATTCTTAATACTACATATGAGACATACACACCATCTTTGGAAAGCTCTCAATTTGATTTTGATGTTTATGATCCTACATACCATCTAAACATAAAATATTGAAACCAGCAAGATTCCATGGCACCTACAACAGCTTGGATGATAAAAATTTCACCATCTGACAAGTTAAAAAATTGTACAAAGTTTATCGTACATGCAAGGACACAATTCTGCAATGATGGCTTCAAGAGGATGATGTGTTTGTTTATGCACCCACAGCCTTCCAAGTGTTAAGTAGCGTACAAGTATATTTAACATGGCCATCAGTTTAGCCATCTAGTCTCCACTACTGCAGTGTGATTCAGCATAAAGCAGACAAAGAAAAAAGACAATATCTCTGTGAATGCAATTTAAAAGAAACTCCTTTTGCTATAGGTTGGAATTTTTTGTATTCATTGTTAGGTTAAGTGGCCTCAAAATGTCAATGAGGACTTCACATTCATAAAGAGTATTGTCTTCTAGCTTGTAATGCCATGTAGTTCAGACACAGCCCAATAATCTGGAGAAACATATGACTTCCATCCTCAGGGTTCAAAAATAAGCCATGCAAGAAACCAGCAAAAGTAGACAGCAATCTTACTCTTTGACCCTGAAAATGGAGGTGGTATATTCCTCTGAAATACATGGCATTATAACTCATGGGACCATACTGTTCATAGTCACCACCATGCAAATCTCATATCCAACACTTTTATCTTCATGAATCCAAGGTATTACTCCATTTCCCGACCATAAAATATGACTCTTCTAACTCTTTTATTTCCTTCTGACCACATACTCGTCTTCGCTATTTAGTCAATATAAATTCAAACTGTATAAAGTATATAGTTTATACTCACAATATGAACAATGTTCAGGAGATCTTTCACAGCATCCTGGACTAAGAGATCTAAGTTTCCAGCACATACATTCTCCTTATCCTCTTCTGGAGAACTGGAAGCAGTATGTTCTTCACTGGCAAAGATTTCTTGGTCACTTCTTGGTGCAGATGGCCCAGTGTTTGATGTATGGTTTTCCTCCACCACTATCATCTTGTTTTCTCCATAATTAACTGTTGGTGGCTTACGATTCTGCTTAAAATTTTCATTTCCATGTGTCATGTTAGAAGCTTTAAGACCAAAACAATGTAAGTGATGGAAGTTTCCCAATGACTTCCCTCTTTTGTGCAGCCAATCAGATAAACTTTTCCTATAATCATAAATATTGCAGTATTAAACAAATAGACATTGCAAACCATTATAAAGGGACCAAGATCTTGAACTGTTACCTTAACAATGTGGAACATATGCAAATTTGTTCAATTTATTTTTGTTGATTTTACAATTCTTTCAGCATCTCAGGTTATGTACTGTCAAATGGTGAACAATGAACTGAAAAGGATTTGGAAGGATGGCATAAGTAAGATGCTATCCCAATTTAGTGGAATTGAGCAATGCCATGGTCACACCTGTGAATGACAAGTGTTCAGACAAGCAAACCCTCAGCTACTGATTGGTATCACACCAGCCTTGTGTAAAAGAATATTTTATTATACCTGCTGTGCTCCAACTGGCCAGCTGATTTAAAGCACAGTACTTCTTCTACTGATCTGCTTTACTTGCAGGGTGTAAACATAATCCACAAGTCCTCTTTCCAAAGCACAAGAAACCATAAGGCTAGCTACCCTCATAGATTGGGAAAACCTTATTCTGGTATGGGGAATATTATTATGGGTCTCTAATGCAAATACAATAGAATGTTAGGTGTCAAAGAGTGGACAGAGAAATAGACAAAATACATGAAAATGTGTTAGTCCTTAAAATATGTGACAAAAGGTCAAAATTTGTGATATTTCACTTCAGACCTCATATAATAGAGAATTTTGGCTAGTAACTAATCACAAAAATATCTACTTATGCACAGACAAATCTTTCTTCTAACCTTCTGCAAAAAGTGTTATTTTCTAATTTTATGCTGCATTCTACCTCATAATGTCTGGTGTGGGTGTATACACATTCAACAAAGGTGGCGGCGCTCCTTTTTTTCCTGAAGACTTCAGAAGTGATTCACTTCCTGCTCTCTGAGGGGTATTTGTCAATGGAAAAATCACATCATTACCACCCAGCTCTTCAGTTTCCTCTTTAACAACAGAATTTTTTAGATCTGTAACTTACAGAAGTTTCATATTAAATCAACCACAATGTTCTGCAGTTTATTAATTTTTAACATGGATAAAGCCAATGTATTTTCATAAGGTAAAATTGGTAAAAGAAGGGTAAAGTTGTCACTGTGCATAATTAATTAAGCACAATGCCATGCAGACATATGGGGAGTGGCCATCAGTCTTGACCTCAGCACTACATGGAGGGGAGCAGTCAGCTTCACAACCCTGCTGCTTTAACCCCAAACAAACAGCCTCCAGGAGGCCTCTGACAGAAGGCTGGGAAGGCTCCAGAGCCAGTCTGGACGTTGTGTAGGAGAAATAAATCTTGCCCCTGACTGTTCAGTCTGCAGTCAGTTGCTATACCAACTGAGCTGTCCCAGATCCTAATGTAGTCTTGAGACGAAACGAAACCAGGAGTGGAAAATGCTCGCTTCAGCAGATAGCATCTGTATATCAACACTGCAACCAATTAACTTACTAAAGTTTAAAGGGAAGTATGAAATGCTTATAATGCACTAGCATAATATTTCTACTTCCTACGAAAGCAAACACTCACAATATCTTAAATATCATGAGTCTGGAAAAATGTAAGGTTGGGCAGTGATAGAGTAATGTAATGGGTATACATTATGGGCGTATACATGTATGTATCTGAATTTACATATGTGTACGTATACAACTCTTGCTCACTGTAGTTCTGAGGCTGTGCAGGTTGAAAATAAATGTGTACATTTTTATGTATTTATCTTGTTTCAACCGACCACCAGATATGACTATTTAACACAGCAGAGAGAAATAGGAACCACTGTACAAAATACGTAGCACGTCCACAAAGTAAGTTTCCCACTCATCCCACAGCTAGCAAACCTTATATTGCGCAAAGCGACTGCGCGTAAGTGATAGAGCAACGACATAGCATGGCGCATGCACAAACGGAATTTCCCACGTTCCCACAGTAGCATCGTTGCAGCTGTTGAAGATGGAGGCTCTTATTCCAACTCCCGCCGACTGTGAAGTGCGGTCAGTGATAAAGTGTTTTTCAATGCACAGAGCATAGCGCCGATCGAAATTCATCGTCTATGGGCCTAACGTCATGAGCAAGCAGATGGTGCGTCGCTGGTGCAGACAATTTTCAGCAGGTCGACAAAGTGTGCATGATGAGAAGCGCAGTGGGTGGCCATCCATCATTACAGACGACCTGGTGGAGCTTGTGCGGGAACGCATTATGGAGAATCATCGCGTCACAATTGCGGAATTCAGCAGTCATATCCTGCAAATTTCCCGCTCCTTGTTGCATGAAATTGTCACGGAGCATCTGTTGTTCAGGAAATTGTGCGCCAGGTGGGTGCCGAAGCAACTGACACCAGGACACAAAACAGTGCATGGAGTCAGCATTCACATTTCTGCAGTGGTACCATGATGATGGCGACGAGTTTCTGGACCGGATCATCACAGGTGATGAAATGTGGATTGCACACATTACCCCAGAAACCAAGCAGCAGTCAATGCATTGGCGTCACAGTGGATCTCACTGTAAGACGAAATTCAAGCAGACGTCGTCGGAGCGGAAAGTGATGTGCATGGTATTCTGGGACAGACGGGGCATTCTCCACGTCGACTTCCTGACCAGAGGTGAGACGGTGAATGCTGAGCGTTCCTGTGAAACACTGCAGAAATTGCGATGGGCCATTCAGAAAAAGCGGCGCAGGATGCTTAGTGCCGGTATTGTCTTCCTGCACGATAACGCTAGGCCCCACATGGCTCGACGGACAGCAAGTCTCCTGCAGGAGTTCAGCTGGGAGGTGTTTAATCATCCATCCTACAGCCCGGACCTCGCTCCCAGTGATTTCCATCTTTTCCTACACCTCAAGAAATTCCTGTCTGGTGAGCTTCAGCGTTTTGAGAATGACCGAGAGGCGGAGATGATTGTCACACAGTGGTTCCAATCCCAGGTGGCAGACTTCTATGACACAGGTATTCAAAAGTTGGTCCCACGGTATGATATGACAAATGTCTCAATTCCGGTGGCGATTATGTTGAAAAATAGCTGAACACTTGCTGTATCTGTTGCAATAAATATTTCCATGAAATTGTGTTTTGTTTCTGTAAACGGCCCCAGGGAATCTTACTTTGTGGATGAGCCTCGTAATCTTACATACAAACATGATGTGAAATAATGTGGTTTTATAATTTTGATAAAAATATTATGGATGATTTACTTTTTAATTTTAATTCTGTAACAAACTGGTACCATGCACATTGCCATAATTCCTGTAGAAAAATGGTGGACAGCTGATTTTGGCAATTAGATTCTAAAAGGTTCTGACGATGGTGGATCACACACAGAATTACTGGGGTCTTGGATTTTTTCCATCTTTTGGAATTTTAGGTAATAGAGGACATGATGTTTCGGAATCTGGATCTGTTTCTGTCTTCAGGTGAGAAAGTGATTGAGATTAGCTCTTTCTAAGGGACCCAACTGAGTAGGTGTCTTCCTTTCTCACCTGAAAACGGAAACAGATCCAGTTTCCGAAACGCTGTGCCCTCTGTTACCTAAAATTCCAGACATGGAAAAAGTCCAAAACCCCAGTAATTCTGAATTTTTGCAATGCACACAAAATTTGTAAATGATGCCCAACATACTGGAGTCAACAAACAACTTACTTCACCAGACTCTTCAAAGTTTCATGTGTCAGGTGCATGATAATTTCATTAGAAAATATTATATTTGTATGTAACAGATTTCGAATATAATAATTTTCAAATAACCAGCCACAGTTTTCCGTGTCACTGATGAGATGACTGCAGAGCCTTAGCTATAAATATCCACATTTATTTCACACACTGGGGAAAATAGACTCCCTGTTCTCAAACACACTCATCTAAATTATTTTTTTAGGGTGACAGACCAAGCATCACACTCACACAAAAGAAAAGATAAAATTACAGTTAATTTAATCTTTATATTTTTGGACAAGGAACAGGATGAGAGAAGACTATGAAATGAATGGTAGTAGGTATTCCCTGAACTTAATCCGTTTTAATTCTTTTATGAATGTAATTTTGATTTATTTCTCTCATTCCAAAACAAAACAGATTCATAATGAAGGAAAACACTTTACCTGGAATATTTGCAACTGAATGAATTCTTCTAATATTCTTGGTATCACCAACTTCAGTAAACACTGATTTATTAAGTGGAGGATCAGCACTGAGTGACCTTCGAGCAGAGCTGCATCTTTTAATTGATGCAGAATAAACTCCACTGCTTTGTTTGTCATTAGCAATTGAATCTATAGATTTTACTGTGTTCTTGAAAGAAAAGGATGACTTAAATGATGCTGTAAGCTGCAGAGAGGACTTTACAGCAGATGTTGAGGGAAATGCATTCAGCTGTCCAGTGTTCCTTCCTGCTAAGAGATTACTAGCTTTATTCTCTGCCACCTTGTTCTTCGATGGTCTTGTAACCAATCCACGTGCTTCAAGTAGTGGATTTGCTTTTATCATCCGTAACTTGCTAGCTATGGTATGCTTTACCTCGGGTGCAACGTTTGGTCTCATTTTTGGATCTATAACAATCATTAACATAAATGCTATTAATTATTTTATAAATGCAATTTACATTCCTGTGAAGGAGCTCATAGTTCATGGTTACTTTAACTGGATTCATTACACTTAAATCGACAGTAAGCATGAAAACTACGTGCTGCAAAATATGCACATAATTTATTAAAGTGAAAAATATGAACATTATACTCACAGTGGAAACCTTTTATTCTCCATGTTCATAATGACTAAGATGAAGCAAAAATGAAGGCTGCAATTTGTGCATAGAAAAATTTACACTTTCAATACTGAATCTTAGATCCATTGAATCAAAGTCTGGTGTCTTAGAAGCCATTGCAGTTGTAGTGATCATATATAGGTAACTGAAGTTGGGTTCTATTTACTGTCATTAAACCCTATCATAAGCTACTCTAAATTATTTAATCTCAATAAACTGTGTATGAAGTTGGATTTTAATTAGATAATTCTAACTTACCAAATTCAAAAGCGGCCTCCGTAGTCTAGAGGTAACGTTCCCACCTCATGACTCGTAGCACGCGGGTTCAAATACCCGGCGGAGGTCATCGAATTTTTAAGGGCGGAAAAATTCAGGGAACAAGTCCTCCGGGAGGGACTTTAAGCCGTGGGTCCCGTGTCGTAGCTTTACGGCACGTAAAAGAACATCATATCTCCAAAGGAGGTCACTGAGCCAAATTAACAGACATTTCCCGCCCAACAGCAGTCTCTAATGCCTCTGGTAGATGGGGGAGGAATTATAGATACCTCTCAGCTAGTAGAGCCAGTCTCACTGGCTGGGCGGGACTGATGGTAAGCACCAGTACCGGTAGGATATAGAGACTGGTAGAAATCATAGAGGGAAGCACAATGGACCAATACAGGTCTCAGTGCATGGGGAAACCCACCCTCTCCAATAACTAACTAACTAACTACCAAATTCAAGCAGTCACCATCTGTCTGAGGTATAGGGTTTTAAGCCAAGACCACTAGCCCCACATTTTTCACAGATGCACTATTTTCCCACAGGGTGGAATGGCGAAACAAAGTGAGATACTATGGCTTACATAAGCTTATAAGACCCAGGTTCATCTTTGGAAAACTGAAGTGGAGTTTACAATAACAATACTACAGCATCAACACCAAGTAGTTATTAATTTTACTTACTTCTGTGAGGCTTGCTTTTAACTATAGATGCAACAGAAGCTCGAGGTATCTCACCAGTGGGTCCTATATTTACATCTGAAGATGTTATGGTGCCAAATATTGCTGAAGAAACTTTACCCTGTCTGTCATGTAGAACTCGAGCCATCAAACGGGATTGTCGCTCTTCACGCCATTTCATTATTTGGTCCCTTAAAAAAATGTATATATTCAAATTTGACTAACAGGCCATAATGTGTTACAGTATGATATAATTCTAATTGTTTTGTGTAAGTCAAACGTTTTCTCCCCTTTGTTATTCCTTTGGTCTCACTGCTTTAAATTTTCACAAAAATGTATACAATTCAGTTAACTTTGTATCATTCATTTGGGCGGCCCAGGTTTGACCCTGGGGTAACTGTGACTTTCTTATGTCACATGTTACAGGCGGTAATGACGCCATCCTCAATGAGGTTGGCCAAACCATGGCTGCGTTTTTGGTGGGGATGCATCATGGACCAGGGATGCATTGGGACACCTCTTCGTGGTCCCGCCAGGCAATGACAGTCTCGGGGTCTGATTAAGTATGACCTACCAGGGCTGGCAGCTAAGCTCCCATAAAGAGCAATGGCATTATGACCGGATCCTCCCATGCGGCAGCATAATGACTCTTGGGTATCACTACAGTGTATCCAGGACAAATGTGGGAGAGCACTCCCATGGGGGTAGATTCAAGTTGCCTCCCTAGAGTACCGATAAGGTGCTGCAAGCCTTAGGGTTCAAAATTCTGAAACGGTCTGACCAACCCATGTGGCGGGGTGGGAATGGGGGAGCTCATAAGCAACCCCCAGGGGCGACTCTCTCGTGTAGGTTACCCTGGTCACAACCTCATGACTAACTGGTGTCGCACTCCCATTTATCATCTGGGATACCACTTTCCCCCCAAACAGGTACTCTTGGTCCTGGAGGCTTGTGAGGGTTGCATGGCACTGGGGTGGTAATTAGCCAGTGTCTTGAACGATCCCCTCGGGGCACCAGGCAGCACCCCGTTGTATTTATGCCTTCCACCCATATGGGACGCTGCATGGACTCAGGCAAGCAGAGGGACTCATACGAGGACCCTCTACTAAAAGAGCTAAGGAACTGTTAAAGTTAAACAGGAACCAGCTACGACGGGTGGTAGGACTACTTACAGGACACTGCCACCTTAAGGGACACCTCTTCAAACTGGGACTAAGTAATAGTTCAACTTGTGAGAGGTGTCAAGAAGAAAATGAAACAGCCACACACATCCTGTGTGAACGTGAGGCCTTAGCTTATTTAAGATTGTCACTTAGGTCAATATTTTATGGAACCAAGTGACTATTTCGACGTCCCCACGTACAAAATCCTGCACTTCATTCGAAGCACAGGATTGCTGAGGGGATAATCAGAAGGGGAGGCACAACAGATCACTGTGGTTGCAGTGCAAGGGCCAAGAAGGCCCACCCCTTATACATTCATTCATGGGGTGCTGTGGGTGGCAACCTTTTAAATCCCCATGACTCATGGGACCAAAATGAGAGGAACCAAAAAAGAAACCAGTCATAAGGACCTTAAACTGAAGAGGGACCCCCCTCCAAGGGGAGCCCTACAATAAATGCTTTAGCAGGGGGCTGGAAGCTCTGGTGAACCAATAAGGGACCCAGGTGCAACCAGCGAACCTGCTGTTGAACTTTCAGCCAAAGGTAGGGATGAACCAGTGGTTCGAGACCTACCTGAGGTAAAACCAAAAACTCCTCTCTTGGGAGTCAGTAGTACTGACATACCACTGCAGGGGGCTAGTATCTCTAGCACACCTGCAGCAGGAGATGGTTTGGGACCCCGTCTAGCGAAAAAAGCCTTTTCTGGATGCGCTAGACGGCAGTTGAAAAAGGCAAGAGCTGGGGCAAGTAAAGCAGGAACTGGGGGCAGTCAGCAGCCAAGAAATGCAGGCTTGTCCAAGCAGGGAGAAACCCTTTAAGAGGCCAAGGTCAGAGGGCAGTACCCATACAGAAACAGCCAGAACTCTGAAAAGGCCCAGGGACTTGGAAGGAGACTCTGACCAATATAAAGGCAGCTATCTTCAAGGAAACTTATCCTGAGGATAAGCTTAATGAAGATGACCAGAATTCCATTCTGAAAGCATTGGGGGAGGTGTTACGTAGGACTCCAAAGGGAGAACTACAGTGCGTACAATCAAGTGCGCGCCGCGGCTGCAATTTGCCGTGAGTCATACCACCGCAGAATGGATGCAGTCGCGGGGAGGAGTTGCAACACTCCCCGCGACTGCATCCGTTCTGCGGTGGTATGACTCACGGCAAATTGCAGCCGCGGCGCGCACTTGATTGTACGCACTGTACCACACCTGAAATCCTACAGACTAGTGGGAGGTGCACTTATTTATGCATGCACCGACCAACAGTCTGGTCATTTTGAAAATAATTTCAGGTCATCAAAATCCGGGACCTGGCTATGAATAATATTAAATATCACCCTTGGGTGACGAGGGGCATAAAGACCTCATGTCAACATAAAAGAGAGGTCTATTTGTCCATGAAGACCAGTAATGATCCAAACCTTAAATCCTATTTTAAAACTTACTCTAAAATTCTGTCTACTGTCATTAAGGCAGCCAAAAATCTTTATTATAATGGATTAATTTCGAATTCTAACAATAAAATTAAAACCACATGGAATATTATTAAAACGGTTACTGGTAAGAGAATCAATAATACTGAAGTGCAGTTCTTAAATGTTGAAGGGA